GGTTAAGTTCACTCGACGTTCGTGCAAGCTTTCCGATGGTGTTCCGGCGATATTGTGGTTTATTACACATTTTATTGCTTCTCTGGTGTGATTGTAGTAGGCTGCTTTCCTTAATTAATTTTTTGTTAATTCTTTGTAGAACACGTGTAGTGATCGTGTAAAGTTATACGATAATATGAAATACACTTTTTAAACGATAGCTAATCAGATGTTCACGTGTATATTGGAAAAGATAATCTTCACGATACCATGAGTAAAAGAGCTTTTAAGTTTATACGTGTTCAAAGTTTTAACGCTCATATATATACGCATATACCTAGTTATATTAATTTGTTGTCTTAAATGTATCCTACTGTACCACTCGTACCGTTTGAACGGCAAATAGAAACATAAAACGAATCGTACTTAGTATTTGAATAACGCATTTAATTAGCATTAAAGTTACGGAACTTTCGTATTCGTCGATTCGCATATTAAAATTTATTTTATTGTTCGAATTCATACCTGGGGTGATCCCGGCACACCCAATATAATCGCCAAAAACGAAACATTATAACAACCCCAATTTTGCCCTTTCCTAAATTGACTTTTAAATGATACCTTTGGCAGCGGAGGGGGGAAATAGCATGTTTGATATGATATTATATGCAATTATAAAGTGGATGGTTGCGGCGGTAAACCACAAAAACTTACACTAAAAGGAAAGGACAGGAGAGCACGTAACGACAAGTAAAACATAATATCTCTTATCTATTAGACAAGTCTGTCCGTCCGTCCGTCTCTCTGTGGTGCTGTTTCAGCGGCCAAACCGTAAGAGATAGATAAAGAGAATATTTAAGTTATAAGTTAAGAATAGTCTGATAAGACTACAAACCGGATTTGAGTAACGTAGCACTTCCGGTTTTCGAGAAATCACGAATTTCAAACGAAACCGCACAAAATCTCCGAAGTTCTCAATTAATTAAATACATTTTTTTTTAAATCAGGTTTTGGTGAACATTTGGCTCACTGGTTTACTAGTATTGCATAATTAACAAAATGAAGAACCCGACTGGTTTCTTGTCCAAAAAAATATCACAAAAACTGCATAGGTATTTTTAAAATGTCATTTCAGGCGTCTGATTCCGTTCATATTTCCAAGAGATGTAGGGCCCAGAGAATAATTCCTCTCCACATCACAGAAGTAAGCAACAGCCAAATGACATCATTTTGTAATATTGTGTACCTGCACTGCAGCAAGGATGCTATCGTCAAATCTCCACTGGGATTCAGTTCAATTCGACAAAGTGCTAGTAGCTGGAGCGGCACATTTTTTAACATATCAGCATTCTATCGAACTGGACTGCACTTTATTTTATTAATAAGCCTTCTTTAAAGGAAAACTTAAGACTGCCTACTAAAAACTGAATAAATCAAATATTTCTTAAAAGCGAAGCCAAGCACCATTTACATTGAAAGTTATTCCACAGAACGGTCTACCGTCTGAATTGACTTTTTTCAGTTTACGTATTAAAGCGTAATATGTAAATTAAATAAATAAATATAATTCGTCATTATAATTTCTTTAAGTTTATTTACGGAGTGATACTAACGCCATCAAGTAAAGACCGGGGCCATTCGCCTAACAGAAAGGCTTTGGAAAACGCTAACGCTTACGATTTAATTTTGTTATTTCTAGCCGCCTGAGGTTTTCAAATGCCTCGCGCTCTTTTTTTTTCTTTTGCATTGGTAATAACAATATTAAAAAAAAATGAGCGTGAGGTATTTGAAAACCTTCGGCGGTCAGAAATAACAAAATAAAATCGAAAGAGTTAGCGCTTTCCAAAGCATTTCCGTTAGGCGAATGCCCCCATGAAGACGTTTTATTTATTAAAATTGTTTGAGTCATTGAGTACTTACGAGCGGACATAGCAACAGACATGCACACATACAGAAGTCAAAACATAAACCTCCTTTTGGGCTTCGCCGCAGTCTTGTAAAAACGCACTTTTTACTCGCTTGTCCGGTTACCGAATAATTATAGCCCGGTCAGGTCACGGTGCGATGGGTTAATTCATGGGAATATGACTAAGGTATATGATGACCTCCCATCTTGTGGCTGGACTAAGCAAAGCACCGCCCACATGGTTAACATTCGAAGGTGTCTGGTGTATCCGTTTTCAGTCCATTGAGTCCAAACCAATTCCCCTACTCTAGCTTCAGTACGGGAACATGATTAAGTTTATAAACCCTTAGGTTTAGGTCTTGACTGTCAAAATCTATTCGTATTCTAACAGATTATGAGAACAGTGTTCGTTTGTCTGGGAAAGTAACATTCAAGTATTGCAGTGAGTAAGCAATGCTTGAATTCCAAGGAGGGATAGGTCAGACTTTGACTGTCAAAGGAGACAATTCGCGAGTTATTACGCTGGTATCTCAAGCGCTTATAAGCTACGGTGGCTTTTACCATTACCGCTTAGGTCACCAGCAGCCAATGTTTAAATCATCAACATCATCATCAGCCTATTAATATCCCCACTGCTGGGGCACAGGCCTTCCCTATGGATGGAATAGGTAGATAGGGCCATGACCCACCACGCGGGCCCAATGCGGATTGGCACGTAAATGAATGTTTAAATCGCTGTATCTTAATTTGGGGCCGTTCAAGTATTACGTAAGCAGATTTACTACAATTATTTACCCCCTCCCCCCCCCTCGTCAGCAAAAGTAAGCAAAGCTCTTACCCCTCCCCCCATCCTTACGTAAACATTGGTGCCTATATGCATTTTTCCTTTAATGTATTTTGTTTTTTTTTATTGATTCATGAGCTTCATGAGCAGCAGTACTTAAAAAGGCTTAATCGATGATGCTGACGATTAACCATCTCTACCCCCCCACTCCCCATGTCATCAAAAATAAGCAGAGCAAAGATCCCCCTGCCCCCCTATAGTGGTTACGTAATACTTGAACAGCCCCTTTATATTGTTGCTTATAGCGACAGCCAAGACTTTGTATCGAGTATGTATTTTCACATAATTACTCTTGCAGCAAATCCAGTACAAAAGTGGTAATTATTATCTTATCCTTGTTGGTTTAGGTTTATAATATTGGTCATTAAAAACGTTTATTTTCTTGTTATTCTCGAATACACTACATTCACCTGCAAAATTAAAGGGTCACCTTGAAAACAGCACAAAATGTATTTTAATTTTCAAATTCATTAATCTCAATGGTTATTTTGAATCATACTGTGGTTTATTTTATGAGTAAGATAATTTTATTTGTTTCTTAGGTTTTCACGCACATCACTCATTAAATAAAACTAGACTAACATTAACATTACTAACATTATTCTGACGATGCAGACCTGAAAAGGCTGCGAAACGTCAATAAATAAATAAATTTTCGTGCATTAACCCGTAAAAACTAGTTTTATTTAAGATAATTTTTTTATTCAAATAACTAGTGTATGGAGTTTCAAAGTTAGTTAATTTTATTTTTGCGGGCGAGTGTATTTTCGATTTGAAATGTCACTTTAGAATTTTAAAATAAATGCTGCTAAATCAAATATTTACGCTACATTAATGCCTTATTAAATTATTTTTTTGATTGTCTGTCTTTGTATTTTTTTAACGTAAAAGATGCGAGTGGAATGACCAACCTATGTTATAAATAACTCTAATGTCACTACCTTCCAACTGATAAATTTATTAATCCATTAATGCAAGTTCATTGTTTTCGGCAAACACCAAAACCTAGAAGCGAGAAAACTAAAATCGTTACAAACTATAACTAAGGTAACCGCCCTGATTTAACACGTCTGGTCCCATGTCATTAGGATTAATGGCAGTTTGCAAACTTTTCTCAGGCTAGAGTACACGACCGTGTATAGGTAAAGCTTTTATCAAATAGGTATCTGTCTGTGCTTACATTTGAAATTCTAATTTTACTATCTTATCTGATTCTGAAATAAACATTTATCCTATTTCATTTCTGATTGAACAAATTTATTCCCTCTCCCTCCTAACTTGGCAAAGCTCGATAGTAAAATATGGATTATACCAAATTTGGCTAACTACATCCAATATTAATGTAACAAAAAAAATATCTTATGATAGTAATGGCTAAGTTGAAAGATCTTCATTGATCTTGCCTACTCAGTTCCAATTGATTCAGATTTCGTCATCATTTAGAGGTTGCTGATTATTTTTCTTATTATAGCTTGAGAACGTTCTCTATACTTAGGTAAAATTTATGGGAATTTTCCGATTGTAAAGTAAATTTTTAAGATTATTTATCTTTTATTTGTCAGAGTTTGCAAGATCGTTTAGGATGAGTCTGGTGGTTTGTTTGTGTTATTAATATCAACTGCTGGCATTACATCTAATAACATTGTTTTTAAACAAAATACATCTATCTGTTCAATTGTTTTAAAAGGTGTGGTTTTAATTTGGCCCCGTCTCCCGTGCACGGATCCCAACCCGACCGCACTGCGCCGTTTTGTCTCGCACTCATTTTAATTAGCGGCTTCTCACGAGCTTACGCTAGCCAGTTTATTAAACTTTGTGTATTAAAGTATCAGAAACAGAGGTTCATTCTCCGCATTATTAAATCTTTGCTTTTTAACGAGTTTAATACTTTGCATTCATGGCACGACAGGATATATAAATCTACCGTCTTATGTGTTTTTGCGCCAGCTTATCTGTTTGATGAATCGCCATTGATTACAGACTAATGTGCATCTGCTGCCTAATCTGCAAGAGTTGTGGGAATCTATCGCACGTATTCAAAGAGTTATTTGTTACTGCTTTTAACTGGGCAGATTTTTTTATTGAAAAGGCACATCCTTCATCTAGTCTAGAGTGATTCAATCAAATTTTAACATAGAAATTTTAAATGAATACACTTTTACAATGTTCTCACGGATAATTAAAGAATTTTATGTAGCGAATGGTCAGATGGATGATGTATTCAAGTCACGAAATCAAAATGAATCTGATCATTATGACGTCATGTTCCAGGCTGGTGGTGTCACAGAACCAGCGAGCGCTACACATAGTGTTCCCACATCATTTCCTGGACTCGCCGGAGTGGTTCGGCGTCTCCACAGACGAGTTCTTCCAGGTAATTTATTATTAATACTTTTCACTTGTATCTCAAAAGGATTCTTCTGTTGTTTAAAAACTCCTTCGCTATCTACTTTACAAAGTTGTACGCGCTTGTCCTCTTTTCGTAATACTTCGTCGATTGCTCTTAAGCCTTTCTCATTTTGTTTGTTAGACATTATACTTCATCATCTTTTTATTCTTAAGAGCTTAATCTTAATTTTATAAATTATGTTTGAAATTTTGCTGGTACACAATAACTGTCATGTTCAATACTTATTACACTCTGTTTTGAAACGCAGTCAATTATAAACACAGGTTAGCTGAATTAATGAGGAAAACGAAAGAAAATATGTTACTGTAAATTAAATAAATAGAGTAATTGTTTACTAAAAGCATTTGGAATTATATATTTTTTCATGAGTAATTTTTTTATTGAATTAACATCGTTATGAATTTATCGTAATACGAATCAAGGGTAAAAGTTCTTAATCATCTCCAAGTCATGCATATAAGAAAAAAAAATGGTCTTAAGTACCAAAACTTACTTAAATTTAAGAAGAATAATCTTTTCATCGAATTTTAAACGTAATCTGCTCTCATTAGATGGAGAAGCATAAATTAGTAGTATAAAATTTCACTTAATCATAAGCATAACGAAATGTGGTTAGCATTGAATGTACTCGTATATTGTTGATCCGTCGCACGTGGGCATGAGAGATTATGCACGCTGTATGATTTAATCGTCGTCATACTTTCACTGTCACTTTGCGGTCAATGTATTAATGTGCCGCATTTATTAACTTTGCGACTTCCTGCATTTGTGTTTAAGAATCTTTGCAAAATAATAATTTTACGAAAACAAACTTCGTCTTGAAAATCAATCATTCATATTTAATCGATATGAAGTTTGCTCTATAAATAGGTATACCAATCTTATTATTGTTGTACCATTTATGGTAATATACTTGCAGAATCAATCATGTTAATTAACATTTTCATGGTAAATATAAAGCACTCCCTGCGTGTGTAAAAAATCAGAGTTAAAGAAACTAAAAATATCATCGTTGCCAAAGTTGAAATACATCTTGCAGATTCTCAGAATCATCCTACATTATATTCGTATGAATCTCTTTCGTTCAATAGCAAGCTGTGTGTAGGTGTTTTATTAGGCATCGTTTCTGATAGTCGCGTCAAGCGTGTAATTTTACCCCACGCAAAATTTATCTGAATTGTCCAGCATTACTGTTGCTTCCCAGATGTGGGGCTTCAATAAATTGAGACAGGTTATCTTCATTGCTAATTTGTTAATCAAATAAAGTTGTTCCGAAACACATTTTTTTAATATTATAGTGTGCATACGAGTAGACGGCTCTCCTGATGGTAAGCGATCACCGTCGCCCATAGTCATCTGCAACACCAGGAGTATCACAAACACATGAATGGAAATAGCACTGTCCTAGGGACAGTTAGTACGTTCGGGCTGATTCTGATATTTACAACATTCAATATAAATAAAACAAGTTTCAACGGTATCGATGCACTGATTTATTTATTTATTGACGATCCATCCTTTTCAGGATGCGTCGTCTGAATTCATTATCATAATCTGTGGTGTGTAGTGGTGTGCGTGAAAACCTAAGTAAATAAAAACATTTAATATATTATTCTTCTTTACATCATTTCAAGTAATACTGTACAATATTGTGCGTTCTTGTTTGTTTGTTATGCTTCCGATTTTCTTTTAACGTCCTGTGTTATTCTGATTCACCTTTCTACAGTTCTTTAGTTCGCCTGCTCTAAATTTTATATGGGGTGTTTGATGGTTCTGTTTTACGGTTATATGTTCTTTATCTACTCTTATCGTACTCTTTTCTGTTATATTTCCATCTTCTTAAATATAGTCCAGGATTCAGATGCAATTCGAACCCGCATCATCTGCTATCTGAAACCTGGATCTTTCTATACTATATAAGAAGAGTTTGTTTAATTGTATGGCTGAACGAGCTAATCTCAGGAGCTACTGGTCCGATTAAAAAAAATATTTTTGTGTTGGATAGTGCATTTATCAAGGGAGGCCTTAGGCTATATAACACCACGCTACGACCAGAAGGAAGGAAGCATCTATGAAAAAGTTGCAAGAAACGGGGAAGAAATAATCCATTAGAGAGTTTCCGTTGCGTACGTAAATGGTAAAAGTTACACAAAATATGTGTATTCTTATAAAAGTCCCAGACATGTCCATCTTTTGAGTTTGAATCACTATGACCTTTCCCACAAAATTAATCCGGTTGAAACCGCAGGGGACCTCTAGTCAAACATAAAGTTGTAGATGATAATATTTTTCTTTTCAGTAGTGAACCAAATTGGAAGCCAGTTCTTATTTATAACACAACCACATCACTATCAGTTACATACCAGTCCTAATCGCAAACTCGCCAATCAAATCGATAGTTTCGGCAACAACCTACATTGAGCGTGTGCTCACAATATTTACTGCTCACAATATTTTATTGTCTCCTTTTTTTCTTACTTTCATTTGCGTGTTCATAATGATTCCATACATGTCAATTTTATTACACTTTTACGTACATCGTACAAAAACAATTATAAGAATTGTTGATTAACTGAAGCCAGATATAAGTAATATCTTACCATGATCATCATCGTTGTCCATTCTACTTTAACTTTCATAACTTTTAATGTCGCAAGTACACTGCATGACGAAGTTAACAATACATTAATAATTTTTAAAAGTACAACCCGGTTACGGATATGAAATCTTTCTTTTGGGATCATCCAATAGAAAAGAAGAAAATAGTTGCGGTCATTACATATTAAAGAATTTTTAAAACGGAAAAATAACGAAAACTTGTCAGAGAGGTCCTCAATTGACTTGGCCCCTATCCGAATCGCTGGGAATTATTTTAAATGTTTTAATTTTTATTGTTCGAATTTAAATAATTGTAATTATTATCTAATCAAATAAAGTTTATACAAGTAGTAGTAAATTAGCTCACTCCTAATGTCAGCTGATGTCCCAGCAAAATGTGTCGCTTCATTCATTCTCCACCTAAACTTTTATCTTCTAGAATGTTCCTAAACTTTAGGGTTTCAGTTAACAGACACACAACACCATAAAGAGATAGTTTTATTTCCCAAAGGTCTCCTGTGAGGTGGATTTTCCCTGACCATTAGACGCTTACTCCAATTAGAGTAAAAATTTCGAAATACCTAACTTCTTTTTCGGACATACTAGAGCTAATCACTAACTTGATCTATCCCTAGGTCTTCTGTGACGTGGAGGTTACTCGTCCAAATGCTCACTAATGTCAGCAACAAGTCCGTAATACCCAACTCTCATTAATGATACTAACGAAATATTTTTGGAGCCGATCTCTATTATCATCTATGAAGGTTCTAAGCATATTATATCTCCCGATGCTCTATAGGTTTAGTGACATTCAAACTTTATAGCGGTTGTGAAGTTAGCAGCGAGCGAACTATGCGCAGGTCTCTCATCCCGTGCGCATCTACATCACCCTACAATTCCTATACTGCGCCGCGACTTGTGCTAACTTCACAGACGTCATTAAGTTTGAATCGCACTTTAATCAGGATGGTGAATATTTTCCAGGTGTGCACTAAGCAGCTTGGAGGGTATGCGCAGGGTTTTTTTGTGGATATAATGCCGTAAAGCGTCCGTAAGAGTTACGGGTTCCTCAGTGGACCCGCCACTGCGAGGGCCCGTAAAGCTTGCGGGAGTCAGGTGTGAAGTCCGTTCGGCGGTGTGCCTCTTAAAGGCGCCGTCGTCTGTAAATAGAGGTTTTGTCTGCGTCACAAAAAAAAGGTGTTAATAGTGGCAATGGAGGAGTCTCGAATACTCGTGTGGCATCGCGATAAGCTCTAATTTGATCTACGTAGACTTTAGGTCTTAGTCCACTTACACGACTCTGCTCACAAACTTTCCCACTAAACACCGCCCTAAATTAAGGGACCCAGCTGTTTACGCACCGACGACAGCTGGCTGTCAGCGAATTGCTAGGTAGATTATGCGAGAACGGCCTACTATCAGCCAGATCGCTTGCTTGCAACGCGTGGTAAGCGAGGCGCAAATCTGACGGCGGTAAGCTCGCTGACATCAAGCTGTCTATGATTTTATTTATTTTTTAAGCATTTAACTGCTAGATGTTTAAATCTAAAGAAAAGTTTACTAGAAAAAATCAAATCAAGCTGTCTGCTTATCTATGTTGCCAATGTAAAGTACATCTGAAGAGCAGAATTTGAAGCCCATATTTGAATTATAATCTTTTTGCCGAATGATTCGTGCAAGCGGGCCACTTCCAGATACAATCTCCTTCTTTTTCTCAGGATGGTTAATATTTTCCAGGTGTCAATAATGGCGATGGAGGAATCTCGTGTCCTCGTGTGGCATCGAGACAAGCTCAAGCTGTCCATCATGTCGGACGCCTTCCTGCAGGTGGTGTTCGAGCACATACTGGGCAGGGACGTAGTGCATAAACTTATGCAGGTATAGATGAACTTTGATATTTTTAGGATTTCAGATCCATCTTTGAAGCGCGATTTAATTTATATACTTTGCTGCTGAAACTACTAAACATGTAAAAAGCTGTCACAGGCGTTTAACACGTTTTGATAACACTTGTCATAGATTCGGATGCTCAGTTTGCAAAATTAAAAATAGATAGGGATTATTTAATCAGATCATTTTACTGATGGAATTGAGGAACGCCGTTCTTTAATATGGCATATGACAAGGTTTTCGCTGTTCATATACAATTTTAGGAAAACGAGTACTGAACTAATTTTCTTACTCTCGTATACCGGTAAGGAGTTGATAATGTTAAAAAAAATAGCTAGGTAACTCATTATTCAATCAACATTTATTTATATGTACACGTTTTAGGCTGTCGCCATGTGAACAGTAGAGAAAAACCAAACACGCATTTACGTGCGGCAAACGCCTGTCACTAGAGGCACAAGTAAGAGTTTATGATAGCTACGTAACGTCATTCTATGAAAACTAAGCAGCACCCTTTATCGGACGTAAAAACAAACTAGCTTTTTCCATACAAAATTTACGCAGCTGTCAAAAACTCCCTGAACATGAACTTTGCAATTGAATCTTTACTACAGTATTTTTGGGCTTTCAATATCATTTAGGTTAGCGAAACGATGGCTGTAAGCAACGGCCATTTGCCCAACAGTTACGAAGAGGGTGAAGATAAACCTATGCTGGTGGTGAAGAAGGCGGGCGATGGCCCCGGCATCACCGCGCTACTCAACCGGCAGCTACAGGGTGAGTATTCGGCCTGTAGTGGGAAGGGGGGGGGGGGGCAATTACAGGCTGTTCCAATACTGCCTATAGTAGGGACAGCTACAGGTTGAGTCTGGCATTTAAACGACCTGTAGGGGGACAGATACAGGATGTTCCAATACTGCTTATAATAGGGATAGCTACCGGTTAAGTCCGGCATCTATAATGCCTATAGGGCGGCATAGATACAGGTTGTTCCAATACTGCCTATAGTAGGGACAGCTACAGGTTGAGTCTGGCATTTATACGGCCTGCAGGGGGACAGATACAGAGTGTTCCAATACTACCTATATAGTAGGGATACAGGGATGTTTCAATAAAATTCAATTTCACTTGACCGATTCATTTTGATGAGATTCTACGATCATATTACTTTGCTGTCTATGGTCGGGCTTAAGTCTATTTCTTTGCTTAGTTTTACTATCAAAACGTTTGAAACCATTACAAAGTCTACTGATAACATCCTGAATGTGGCCTCTGAAGTCTATATCTATCGTTAAATCAGAAGGCCAGTCGATAAATAATTTCATTCTTAAAAGGACTCAAATATTAAATATAGCATAAAAATAATTCAGGCAGTTTTGGCGATGCCATGTTTGGACCAGAAAGTAGCCAAGGTAAAGAAAGGGTTCTACCACACAAAATTAGGCACTGTTCCAAAACATGTTAAGGCTATAATATTTTTTACTTAAAGCTAGTGTTGACGCCTGACTAATTTTTTTGTGGAATGACTATAAGCAGAGAACACAGAAAGAGGTTAGAAGGGTGACCATAAACCGTTTGTACGGGAACCGATGTCGCCGGCTTGTCCCCACTACACTTCCAAGTTATAGATAATAACCTATTTGTTTCTTAGGTTTTCACGCACATCACTCATCAAATAAAACTAGTTTTTAACGGGTTAATGCACGAAACTTTATTTATTTATTGATGTTTCGCAGCCTTTGCAGGCTGCTTCGTCGGAATGATTTTTTATTTAATTTTGTCGAGCTACCTTCGCAAGACTTTTATTGAGCGTTCGGTTATTTCATTGTTCGATTTTTAAAGTTTTATTGTCTATGTATGAATTTATTACTTTATTTAGTTAATAAAGTACTTTATTTTAAATTCTTTTTTGTAATTTTGAGTTTATTTATTTGACCCTACGGTAGTCAGGGTCAAATACTACCACCTACCACCGGTTCCAAAATTGGGAGACCTTTCTGAGAAGAACCGGCGAAACAAACTCAAGAGAGGCTTTCTATCTCCTTCTTATGTTGAATTATCAAATAACCTATCAAACGACGCGACATCAAATAATTCAACCAATCAGCGCTCACACCCGAGAGCAACGACGCAATCGGAACCAAGTTTTGGTCAAGTTATGAGCATTTTCTCACACGACTTTGGCGCGCCTGCCCCGCCTATAAGGCCCTTCTAACCTTTTTCTGTGTTCCATGTACTGTAAGTATCTTTATTATCATTTTGTTTAGTCAGCATGGTTATAAAGATAGAATTTAATAGTATACATTTAACAATAAGGGATCTTGTTTTATTTAAATGAGCATTTATACTGTATTTGAAACGGTAAACGCAAATTTTCCTTTTGGTAATTTACTATGTAAATACATTAAATCGAAAATTTACGTACATGCGGTCATGGTAAAAAATAATCCGATCCATTTCCGATTTAATCTGTGAACTAGTACAATTAAAGTTTGCTAACGACTAAGGTGGACGCCAGCCAATAGAAATTGAAAGAGATTTCCGTAAACAAATGATATTGGTCAAAAAATGTAACCATAGATTTATTTACGAATCAAATTTCTGAATAGTGAAGCACAAGAAAATGTACCTACATACATTGGATGTTATTGAATGTCGTCTTGTATTAATTCGGTGTTTTTAACGATCAATACTTCAGTATGTCTGCTTTTCAAAGTTTTTTTTTAATAACTTAATTCTACATTTCGTTGCGTCATGACCATTTAGTGTAGACCTTATTTCTATAGTGTCATTGTTAATAGTAATTTCTCATTCGTTATGTTTTTGCTCGAGTTCAAAGTTAGGTCATTATTAAAGTAGCTAGAAGCAGATGTACTTAAGTTGTTCATCATGTTGATGTTCGCTAATCATGTATTGTTATGAGTTTGTTTTTAAAATTACCACTTGTATGCTGCCCAATAACCAATGAACTGGAGAAGATTGTCAGTCTGTGCGAGTGGTAATTTTAAATAAATGTATCATTAAGGGCCGTTCGCACCAAACTTTACGCCAAATCTTTCTTATGGTCAGTCGTTGCGACAAGATATTTGACACATTATTTATTATTTTTAAAACTTTCTTTAGTTTGTACAGCGAAATGATTGTTTTGTTAATGATAGTCATTTTTAAAGAAAATATAACTAGAAAAAATTCCACGCGGACCAGGCAGCAGACGGGACTCGAACCCGCACCCTTCGCAATCCGGGCGAATGCACTGACCAATTATGCTACCGCGGCCCTCACGGACCGCGTCGAAATTCTTTCTAGCTATTCTTAAGCTGCAAGGCAGCGCCATCTCTTCGCATTATAGGTAACCCACAATGTCAAATGAATACTTGTGGGCCGCGGTAGCATAATTGGTCAGTGCATTCGCCCGGATTGCGAAGGGTGCGGGTTCGAGTCCCGTCTGCTGCCTGGTCCGGAATTTTTTCTAGTTATATTTTCTTTAGATTTAAACATCAAGCAGTTACATGCTTTAAAAATAATAAAAAAATTATAGTCATTTTTGTGAATATCTCTGTTTTTTTTTTTAAAGTTTCAAAATTGTGTGTTCGCTTTAAATTCATTTTGTATCCTTTGTTACTTACAATTTATTATTTCCAAATAGAGTCACCGTAACTAAAACATAACTTGAAAAAAAATTGTGTGTGTCAGATCCGACGCACGACTGGAGTTTACTTCTTAAGTTCGATAGTCTAACCAGACGCAAAAAGAGTTTATTTATTTAAAAATGATTGATACTGTATGTAAGGGTAAATTAACAAATTAATGAAAATAATATAAATATATATTTATTTATTCTTTTCATATACATTTATAATAACTAATCGACGAAATATTTTACATTAAACTTTTTACAATAGTCAATTTCAGATGTGCATAAATAAAGGTACGCTACGATACTGTGCTACGGTGTAGCACTACGGCTGCTACAGCGTAGACAGGCAAAACGTAACGAGGTCATTCATCGATAGATTTCACTCCTCACATTTTTCTCATACCGGGCCCCTTATATATGCTAATCGATTCTTAAGGAGTAAACTCCAATAAGTACTTTTTGTTCCAACATTTGTGTTTAGTCTGATTGTTTTTCATAAGGGAAATCGACGGAAGATATTATTATGAATGTCCCCAAAACATAATATCGCACAGTTAACCATTTTCCCCACTTCGAAAAGTGTACTATTTTTAACTATAGTTTAGCTGCAGTCAAATAAATATCTTGCCGCTTAGAGACTGAGCCATAATGAGATCGAGTTAAAGGCACCTTCAAATTAGACTTTATTCGAAGCACAGTAAGATGAAGAACACATTGTTTAACCGATCCTTCATAATTTTTTTTAATGAAGTGAACGATGATAATCATTTATTATGTCATCGTTAAGTCGAATAGTTCGACGTGACGGAATGGCACAGCGTGGCAGAGGTGGCGTTGTTTTTTTTTAAAGGTCTGATTTCGCACTCTTTTAATTACTTGCGTTAAAGTTTCCCTGCTCCGCAGCATCCGGGTCACCATCATTTCTAAAACCATTCTGATTAGTTTCTCGTTCATTTGATATTTTAGTCGGTTTCATAAGATATTTTTATATTACTTTATTGTTAATAGATGTAGAGTTATTATGTCTATGATAAAGAACTAAAGGTCTCGCAGACAGGGATGGCCTGTGGCCTCGGCCAACCCTTATTAGTCTCTCGTGTATGAACAGATGAACATTCGCTTACATTGAAAGCGAATACAACCGACCACCGCAGTCGAGTGTGATACGTAATTATAGTGAATTGATAATTTAAGTGAATGTGAAAATGTTGTCTTCGCTCTTCGAAAACCACGTTGAGTCACTCCGTCCGGCTCGAATTCGACCGCAAGTCGTACGGTATATAAAGTCGCGCTACTGATTCGAAGGTTCGCCTTTAAGTCGCGCCGGTTAAGGTCGATATTGGTGTGTCCGGCCCTCACCGCCCGTGGCGCAGGCGAGCGCGCGCCGCTGCTGCCGCCCGCCCCCGCCCCCGCCGCCCCCGCCGCCGCGCGCCGCCCGTCGCCCGTCCCGCTCTAGCCCGAGTCCGACCTATATGCCCGTCCCTCTCCCACCCGTGTCTAGCACAAACATCCTCAAATTCCTCATATTCCAACCCGCGTTCCCGCCTACTAACCGGCTTCCCTAATGGTCAATTTATACTAGCCCAGACTCGAAGCGCATCGAACGTAAAATTCTTCACAGCTAAAGTAAAGTTGTACAAATGCGCGCGCATTCGCGGGAATACGCTTTTATCAGCATCAGTGCTATTGCATTACTAGTGCTATTACGCAGGCTAATTTCCGACTGATGACGCGTAGGTTCGTTAGTGGACCAATCAACGTTGATCACGCGCAGACGCGATAACTCCGTCGAATGAGCGCGCGTCTTTTTAAATCTCCGAAGTAATGTGTGCAGTCCGCTGTGGAGATAAGGTTTGAATTTGTTAAGTTAATAATTGGATTTACGTTTTGATGCGCTTCGACTATTCGCTAGTGTAAATTGACCTTAACACCTACACTACACTACTCGAGAAGTTATCCGCGGTTATGCGAGTACGACAGTGTAGAGAGGTACTTCTGATCGCTTCGTACAACCTCGGCTCGGCTCGGACAACTTCCGATAATTCTCGGTTTTGTGCCCCAGTCAAAGGACTCGAAGCGTCCTGAAGTTCTATTACGAAGTGTCTCACTACACTATTCGGCTTCCTTCAGTTCGCGACAGGACAACTTCGCGAGTAGTGTTGTGTAGGTATTATGGTGGCCACCGATCATCCTGCCGCTTGACCAAAGGCTTGATCAAGCGAAACTGACCGTGTAAGGGTATTTTAGATGGGCATGCCACTTGACCGAAGGATTTTCATTTGATCAAGCCTATTTGATCAATTCACATGATCATGCGGCATGATATTGAGTGGACACTTTGATGTATAGCGCGATCGTGTACAACTAACTACCAGTCCATCTACCGCGTGAACTTAGGAAACAAACATCGCGTTGGCCAGTTTGAAAATATTCCGATGAAGAACTTCTTCCGCTTTGGAATGCGGTTAATAAGTCGAATTTCCGGTTCATTTTATAAATTGCGTAGACGGAGCAGTAAAATATGTAATTTTGTTTGGCCTATAAAGAAATATAAGTTGGATCCTGATCTCTTTGTCCTGGTGGCTGACGCGATGTTTGAGCATTACGCAAGTACCAGATCTTCATTCCGATAACTTGACTCCCCTGCTCTTTAACTCCGCATTGGTGAAGATGCAGCCTTGTATGTCGCATTTCGACGCCAAATTTAAACTGCTGCTCCGCTTAATATGAACTCGAGTTCTATCTTCCGTTATCTCAAGGACTAAATAATTTGAATTAAATCCGTACGTATATAGAGGCTGGATCTTCCTGAAGAGGAAAGGTGTCCATTACACACATATTAATAATCGGCCCAGAGAGCGTTCCTTCTAGATCTCTCTATGCTTTGTCACTCATTTGGAATAGAAATAGATAGCATTCTTCCGTTCCCGATCACATGAATATATTATAATATTATTGATTTACTAACAAATCGCTGACAGATTCGTGTTCGACCTGTGTGTTTCGCTGTCACTAATTTGTAACTAAATAAAGACAAAACAATAGAGAGATATAGGTAGCGGCAAACTTCTTGAGCAAAACCACAGACAAATAAAATTGCGCAGTAGACGTTTTTGTATGTAAAATTTCATCTGCGCAGACTTCCTTGTCTTTGGTCGTTGCTCAAGAAGCTTGCTGATGTGTGTACATATACAAGGTATTTGTCTTTAATTTAAAACTAATGTGCAATGGGCATCTGATGGTGCTTACAAACCGGTGATATAAGTAGAGTGCAGATTTCACACTAACCCAACCGATATGAGTATTTAATACATACTTACATATATTATATATGTTTCGGTGTGTGATTCCTTGGTTGTTTAGCTTTAATAATACACTATAAAGTACAATATAAATTGTCATATTTTCTCAATCAATTATAGACTTTACGTCAAAGACGTTTAAGTTAAATATCGGTAAAAATACATTTATGGGTTAAATGTGCCGTAGTAGCCACTTGTACAAACAAGTTCAAACAACTGGCTTACGCAACTAATAGGCTAAGTGTTTCATTAAACGATTAAAATACTCTTGTCGGTTAATTTAGCTATTATCTGTGTTGTATTCTTAACTGTGTATAGTATAACAAGAACGTACATAAGTATATATGTATATTATATTTAATGGTAGACGTGTATACTTTTAGTAATTGTTATGCACAAATAAAGCCGACGACAAAATTAATTTTATAAAATGCTGAAGCAGGAAATTTACATTTATCGTGCTTAAAAGGGATATATTTAAATTGTTCTCAAAAGCATATAAATGATCACTTAAAAATACAATAAGTAATTTAGTGAAACCTAAAGGTTAGGTTAAGTTATCAATTGCATTTTTTGAGGATCATATTCTATTCTATTATTTTGATGATTATTTAATTAATATGTGCCGTTTGAAAATAAACAAAATAATACTTTAATTATTTGTTTACTTTATTTTTGTTGTCGACTTTATATTGGATTTGTTAATAGTAAGTGAGTACCTGTTTAAATATTATAATTATCTCATCATTTACCATGACATAACACGGCATAGAAACATAACTTTTATCATAAATTTTAGCATGATTAAGTTGCACACCTAGAGCATAAAGGTCTCAACTTAAAAATCATATTTTTATAGATATTCCTACTGATCGAGTTCAAGTGTGAGTTGTATCAAAGAGCTATTTAAAGTTAAAATTGCTATAACTTTACCATGCCGCCTTGTTTAGAACAGTTATTGTTACTGTCAAATTATGACAAATTATGAAGTTGACATCAACACATGTTTTCAATTTTTGATGTCATCTTTCAATTGACGACACTGTTTGAAACAAAACAGGGAGAAAAAAATAGCCCTTGCTGAGTTTCTTGCCGGTTCTTCTCAGTACAAGGTCTCCCGCCGTAGATTTACGAACCGATGGCGTAGCGTTTGACTTTCACAAGAGCTTGTAACAGCCTAGACTGAATGAATGAGTTTGAATTTGACCACATTTTGAATATCGCCAAATAAACCTTTAAATAGTCTACTGCCCATGTCAAACCACGTGGCACGTCAAGTCTCATCTTTCGTGGCGCCTATTGTACGTCCTGTTGACTGTAGTTAAAAAAAGTTAACAAAGAACCTGGTTCCATATTATTGTTTTTTTTTCTCTGTATTTGTGGCAACAAACATTTATACATTTTAATAAAATTGTTCTGTGGTCACAGTGCAATTATAAGAGACGTCCTACAGTGCCAGTGCCAATTTAACTTATTAGTTACAGCAAAACATTATAGAACAAGTATTATACTTAAAAAAAAGAGCTCTGCGCAAGATCCAGATCTTTATTCCGATAACTTAACTCTTTAACTCCGCATTGGTGAAGATGCAGCCTTGTATTTCGCATTTCAACACCAATTTTAAACTGCTGCTCCGCCTAATATGAACTGGTCTATTACATTATAGAACAAGTATTATACTTAAAAAAATACATGAGAAGACAAAACATATAGACATCCAAAAAAATCTTTTTTTTTTTAATACTAATAATTAATTTTATTTTCTCTTCACAAACAGTTTTACACAAGTTCCATATAATCATAACAGTAAAGGCACAAATGATAAGTTTGTGTGAGACTGATGCCTGAGATAGGTATGGTAACATACCTGTTTTACAGGTCATCAGGCTCCCACCACCTTGGTTTATAAGAACAATGATTATGATTTACATAAATATCTAGTTACTATCTATTATTATTTACTATCTATCTATAAAGTTTATGTTTATATAAATGCTGTCTCTTAATTTTAGTTTAAGAAATTTCTTTAAATTTCAATTTCAATCAACAAATAATTAAGTAATAAACAACCATCAATATCTATGACGGTGTTTTTCAGTTGAGACTATTATGATCTATGCGTGCCAATATGTATGTATTAAAACGTCCTAGTCTATTTGTGCTAATAAGTATTTCTATGTAGTTTTAGTAGGTACTTTGCATGTGTTGTGTTAGACATAATTTTAACTGTATTCAAGATGAATAGATAACAGTTGTATCTTCGTTTTTATATATTTTTTGAAAACGAGATAATTATTCTGAATTAAGAGAAAAATATATTGCAAATTTTGATATGCAAAATATCTATTCGTCTTTTTATATTCATTTACCGAATGCTTTAAATTATAATTATATATTAATTTATGTTTAAACCGTACCGAAGTATTAACAAATTTATTTAGAGCTTTAGCCCATAATATCCTATCCTTAAAGTCCTAAATCCCAAAAGCATGTTTGGAAGATCTACAGAGAAAGGTAATTTTTTTTGCTTTGTTTATTTGTTTTCACCTTGTCGCACCCATTTTTGCAATTATGTTTATGTCAGTTTATGTGTTAACTAAAGAATGTGTATTTAACTAACATAAAATTGCAATTTAAATACTTTTTGATGCTTTGCTATTAAAATTATACAATTTTAAACACAATATGATGTTGTTTCATACTCAAATGTTAACAACTTCTTAAATCAATAAACAAAATTTAGTAGAAAATAACTTTAGATACAAAAAATCCAAGCAGATATTGCATGAATATAAAATATAATAAAAACTATATCAGGAACAATGTCAGGCCGGCATTTTACTTGACTATTCATATTTGCTATTTGTAAACTTGACAACAGAATGTCTTTAATGGCCGTTGCAGACGATGCGCAGTAACTAGCGCAAGTACTAATCATAAGTACTTGCACTAGCTTTCAAACGTAAAGTATCACTTTTTTTTTTGGTTACGTTCTCCCTTTTCAGGGAAGGCAAGGGGAACAATGCCCATACAGCCTAGTCTTAAGTTAAATTATTCTGTTTTTCTGTTTTTCTTTTTACATTAAAATGTCGGTGTGACGCATTCTAATGTTTCTTGAAGTGTTTGGTACGAAATATATCGAACTGGCTTTTTCGATAAGCTTCTGTGAGGTAGTTAATACCACAATAAAATTCTCACGTCCACTTGGCGGAATAGCGTATATTTTGACGATTCTACTAATTCTTCAGTTACGCAGACAGTTGTAACACAAAATCACACCAATTTTATTTCACAATATCCACTATGAACGAATTTAAGAATAATTAAAATAAGACGCCAACCACTTTCGATGAAATCCCGCCAAAAACTCCCGTTAAGTATCACTTGCACCTAGTGTTGCCAGGTCCGATTTGTTTTAAAGCGGTACATGAGGTCAAAAAAATCGGGATTTAGGGTTGCAGATCGGGACAGTTAACAAAAACAAGGGGATTTTAAGTCTGGGTTTAATTTATTGCGTTTTAAAGTACTAGTGCAAGTATAGTATTATATTAATTACATTTAATTTTTTGATTAATCGGGACATTTAGCGTCCCGATCAGGTACTACAAATCAGGACGCGTCCCCAGACCCCTGAAAATCGGGACGTCCCGCGCTAATCGGGACACCTGGCAACACTACTTGCACCTGCCCTGTGCAGTCAAGTATCAGTGCATAGTACCAACCATGGACAAGCGCATGGTATAATGCGATTCAACTAAGAATAGGACCGACTGGGCGCCATATTTTGACGTCATAGCTGTCAATTCAAACAAAATAGGTAGAGTGAGCAAAAAAATGTTGCTATTTAATAAAACTTATTTACTAAGATTAAGTGATACAAAACATCAGATTTTTAATAAAATTAATTTACTAAGGTTGAGAAAGAATACAACCGATTTTTAATAGTATTTCTTTATTAAGACTGTGTGAAAAAAAAACATTAATCAGAATCTAGCTCTTCAATTTCGCTCATCTCTTCATTACCGCCAGAGAAGTTATTAATAATCATGCAGGTTACATACGAACATGCATCCTATATTTATCATCATTTGTAATTGTTTTTTTTTAATTTTTGGTTTTTATTCTAGATTCAGCCGAGTGCTAAAAAAGTGTTCCAAGATTTTTTGCAAACCGTACTTTTCAAGCTATATTTGACAGTTGGAGTATTTTGACTTTCCTATTCTTATTTGAATCGCATTATATTCAATTTGCGGGCACAAGAACAATCAACATCGCTGCCTAAACAAAAATGAAACTGGCGGGCGCCAGTATCGACCGCGTCGCGTTCGATGCGCAGTGCGAGTAGCGCGGGGGTGAAGCAGACGTAGCGGGAGCAAACGAGTTGCTCTTGCGCTAGGACTAAAGCGAGTACAACTAAGCAACTTGCACTGGCATTTTTACTAATCAAAATATGTTCACACGACGATATTATATACACAGTAACAGTACCTACTTGCGCAAGCTGCTGCGCATCGTCTACAACGACAATAACATGCTGTATAAGTAGGCTTGCCAGGTGTCCGGCTTTTAGGACATGTTTGGCTTTTTTTCAGAGTGGCGATTCGTACGACGATGGGCGGACGAGCGTCCGAACAGACAAGAGTTATGTTTGATAATAATAAAATAAATAAAAAAAAAAACATTGTTTGGCAGTAAAAAAAATATGTCCGGCTAAAGGGCAAAATGTCTGGCATTATATAGTCCGCAGTCCGGCCTTTGCATTTTATGGCCTGGCAACCCTATGTATAAGGAATGATAAGGGCAGAGTGATGTCAACTTTACAATTAGCAAAACGCGAAATTCCAAGTGAATAGGCGGCATCAAGTGAAAATTGATTGTTTATTAAATGATAGTAATCAGGTACTGGCCTATGCCTTAATTACGTAACAATACAAGATCTATTCAATGTGCATTTGCACATCTCCATTAACATGGCCTCTACACAAGTTTTTTAATCCAATGACACAGACACCTAAGGATAAATAAAAAAAATAGTATAACCACTACTTTCAACAATTCTTGCAGTCCTTTTCAACTTAAAATTGCACTTTACTGTATTATAATTTATTGTCTACTGTTTTATATCTCGCTCATTTACCCACAAATTAGCGAAGAACAATAAAACAAACAACAAAGTTAATTATAAAATAAATAATAATACATATATTTTTTCATGAGATGCCAAATAGCAAAGAGCACAGCACCTGTTTATAGTTCGCTAATCAATAAGTGTGTGTAGCTAAACTAACCCATGCTATTGAAGCATTCTAATATTATGTAATTAATCTGAAAATAATAAAGTTACATTACTACTTATAAATTTATATAGAAAATATTACAGGATAAAATATCCACGCGGTCTAGGTATCACACGCAGGCTTCAAGCAGCAGTTGGTGTCGATTCTGTCATGATTCTCTAAACTTAAAACTAAATTTGACATCAGTCTCTCCTTTTCACTCTGTATAGAGAATGACAAGGATAGACTGTTGTCAAATTTAAGTTTAGGTTTAGAGAATCATGGCAGAATTGACACCGTTACGTCCTTAAAAATAAAAATATAATAAATTACTATAAGTTGTTAATAAAAAGTAACATATCAATATACTAAGCGTGAGTCAATATAAATATCAGTATTTACAAATTAATATGACATTTGCGGAATTCCTGCATTTTTTGCCTTTAAATCAATGTTTAATGTAACTAGGCACAATCTTCTCCTTAATTTATTGAACAACATAATGATATTCAAACTTAAGTAAGTCCTCTCACTCCGACTCTTTTATCCTGCCATTAATAGAGTTGGAGTTTTGGAAACAACTTTATTTTAAAAATTCACGCTTATAATTTTTCCTAATGTGCCAAAACAAGTTACTTCAAAAATACACAAAAATGTTTTTATTCTACAAAAATATATTTATCGTTAATTCTACAGACTTAACATTAAGAGTCACTTGCACCAACATTCTTAAGTGAACTTAAGGCTTTATCATCAGTCTATTAATGTCCTCAATGCTGGAGCACAGGCCTTCCTTAGGGAGATTTGGCCGTGAGCCGTGATCCACTACGCGGGCCCAGTACGGATTGGTGGGTACTAATGACTGCAAATGCAGCCGGGACCAACGGCTTAACGTGGAAGGCACGTTAAGTCGTTGGTCCCGGCTGCATTTGAGCACGGATAAGCTCGAGATAATAAGTTTTTGGTCACCCATCCTATGACCGATCATTGCGAAAATTGCTTAACTTTAACTTCCTAGGCCGAACGCGCTAACCACCTGCGCCATCGAGCTCCTCCTGATTGAGAATGAGTATGAATTCAATCAAATAAAAAATTTAATTAAAATAAAAATAAGTATTTTTTTTTAAATAAACAGTCCTTAGCATTATTTTCAAGATGCATCATCACCATGAAAAGGATGGGCACGAAACGTCGAGTTGTGTAAAGAAATATGAAAAAATTCAATTAAAATCCTTTGAAAAAAAAAAAAATTATTTAATGAGTGGTGCGTGAAAACTTTGGAAATTATTATTTTATATTTGATTCAAGAATTTTGATGTAAGTGGCTCAAAATGATAAATTCCTAGATATACTTAAGCTTCATTATATTTGAATTCTTTTTTCACTTGGTCTTCAGCGTCGGACCCTAACGCATGGCGTCTCGGGAGAATCGAAGAGGCGGACCACGAGACGCCCGTCTGAGGGCGCGCGCTGCACGTAGCGGTTCGACCGCGCAGTAAACGCGGACGCCGCTAGTGCAAAGTCAACCTAACCCCTAAACATTTAGTGTTCATAAATCCTAGTGATCTAAACTTCGTTGCTCATACTGCCTATATTGGGATATCAGTAAAAAAAAAAACGCTCGCGAATTCAGACTCTTCGGTATTGAAAACTCATTATAACCCGATTGTTTTAAATACATTCGTTGTCAAAAAAGCGGCACCTCCGTGAAAATTACTTTCAAGAGTTATTATAACCTTTAACACACGCATTTACCCCCATCAATATTGGCGTCATTTGAAAGCTTATTAAATACCCTTAAATAAACAATTCAATTAATTTGTTTCTATTGGAACAGTGCAAAAAACAATAAAGTTTACAAAACAATAAAAATCTATAACTAAGCCATAATTAAAAACAGTTTAATTACTCAAAAAAAATACGAAAAGGTATTTACGCGGAGGTGCGATTTTTTTGACGCCGAATGTAGTTTCTGTTGTTTGAACGATACCAGTGCAAGAAATGTGTTATTCTATGTTATTGGTGAATGAAGAACTTATAAATTGAATGTATTATTGTTCATATTGTATAAAATGTTTGGCAGCTGTAGAATGTGGTAAAATTGATCTCGATGCTTGTACAGTCATTTGTGTGGTTTATCATTTCGATTGCTGTAATTACATTGAAATAATGGAAATGGTAAAGTTATAAATGAAACAAGATAATGATGTTGCATATATAATATAATAATAACTAGATGTAGTTTTTTTTTACTGTGCTATAGTGTTATTATATGTTATATATTATAAATATGCATTGTAGTTTGTCTGCGATAGCTGTTAAAGTCATAGTAAATCTTTCTTCTTTAATACTGTAACACAATTCAAGATATTATTAAAAACAATAAATATTTACGAATCCCAATATCGCTCTTATTATAAGTCTGATGATAAAAATTAATGCAATATAATATAAAAGATATTGAGAATACAATATTATGGTGAAAGAAAGAATGTGAAAAGACTAGATACATACTTTGTGTATACTATATTGTAATACTCACTGAATTAAGAAAGCCATAAAATACTTACTTATACTTTAGAATATTTATACATTGGTGGCTTTATATTAAATGTATATAAAAATGATTGATGTCAATAATAAGATTGATACAATGATAGGGCGATAAAATACACAAAAAGCAAAATTTAATCCAAGTATAATTATGTTGTTGTGTAGCTCTTTTAGGTATATTCCAATGTGTATTGAACAATCAAATTACAATAACTATATAAAATCTGAGCCACTGTGCCTGACACTATTACATTCCTGCCCCTACAGCATGAATACCACAATAGGGTATTAGACAGTGTTAAAAATAAAGTGTTAGCATCTGTGTTTAGAATGAATATCGGCAGAGGTTTTTACTATTTTTACAAAAAAATATTCATAATTTTACAAAAAAACTAACGAAAAAGATAATAGTTTTCTTATCTATTGTCACGTGACCCAAAACGCTTGGGAGATTGGCTTGGAGCCTAAAATGACGTCACACGCAAGTAAACTTCCGGTTAAAGTGACATTATCGTTTGACGTTTTAATAACAGTCATGTGACGTTACACACTAGTAAGACGCCATATTGTCCAGAGAAACGTTTTCGCGGCGACTTGAAAATGGAGTTTTTTATTTGGTTATATACACTTTTTAGGGACTCCATAAACATTAGTCAATCACGTGAGATCGTTTTCTAAAACTTGTCAAATATCCTATTAACATTATATCACGTTCTTTATCACGTCTTCCTGCCAAACTCCATAGTAATTTGACAAATGAGCGTGATAAAAACGAGCTATATATCACATCGCGGTAATCATGCTAGGTGGCTGAAATAAATATAAAACATGCTTCTTATCATAGAAAAAACAAGTACCTATAAAATACAATACAAAACCTATAAATGAAATATATTATATACAGGTTTTATTATTATATATCAAACTCGCGTAAGACTTAGTACAAAATAATGATGATGAACCAATGAAAATTAATGCTATTGAAAGAGAGTATGATCTGATTCTTATTTTCCTTAATATATTTGATATTTAAAAAAAAACAAGTGTGTCTTCTGTTGTACCCTATCATTTTAGGCATTTTTTTGTACACTTGAAACCGTAATTATACGAATACTACAATAGTCGCTCTTATTGCTTTGTGTTAAAGTATATTACTGACATTATGAAATTATCATTATCAAGCAACATGATCTCGATTACACATTACCTACGATATAAAAACTTTAGGACACCCCACGCACTAGACGGCTACGACCACGGCAAGTGGCTACAACGACCACATTATCTAAAGAAACCATACGAACGTCGCGCACTTGGCCACAACGGCCAACTAGTTAATCTGCCGGCCTATTAGCTTACGTTTTTGACATTAACAGTGTGTTACCAAAGGGTAATCATTCATATTTTTTCATTTCATCATATTCATCGATGCTTTTCAGAACAAGTATCTTAGTGGAGTTATAGTTAAGCAATAGTGGATCACTAAATAACTCGGCGATTAACACTTCCATCTGTCAAAAGCAGTTTGCGAATCCTACTGGTCGTAGCCGTCTAATGCGCGAGGTGCCTTAATCTACCATCTGAATCAATATAATTACAGAATAGCTCATGTGGCGTAACTGCCGCACCGTTAATAATTAATTTTTATATTATCATACTTTTGTTATAACCTTGTGAGAAAAATTTACACTTAAAAGAAAATTTTACAAATCCTTGCCTTGCTATGATGTTTTTTTATAGGTCATTGTTCACAAGTGAATTTGAAGAGTCGATTGAGACCGTTGGTAAAAAGAGGCTTGTTATGGGTCCTACCTACCCTATTTTTTAATAAGAATAACTGATGCCAGTTTTAATAATCAACGAACAATAAAAGTTTAGGTTAATCCGGTTGATTTATTGAACAACAGATTTTATTTTAAACTAAATAACAAAAATATTTGTATTTTATTTACTTTATGAACAAAATTATGCTATCTTGAATAACACTTCAATGTGTGATGAAAAATATAATAATTGGTATAACTGAAAAGCAGAGGCTTAAAATTACTAAATTACATCTAATTAGTTCTTTGGACTCTGAGTAAACATTAAATTAGGTCTCAACTCCATAGGCGCGTTTTTATCGGTCCATAATATCGAATGCGTTATTGTGATGATGGGATCTACTAACCACTACGAGGGTTATCGCGTATGAATCCGCCGCTAGAGGCGCTTGTGTAGTGTGAGGTTTCGGAAATAACTCCAATTAAATATGCCAAATATGAGTTACGTGACTTTTTATGTCACTGATTTGTAAAGCGGAGCAAAGAAAAATTATTATGTCCTCCCTTTTTTGCCGAACAAAACGGAACTGCGCAACTTTAGCATGGCCGATGACGTTAACGATACGGTTCTTTTGTATTAAAATCTGATTTAAATGTAAACTTTGATTTGATGCGCGTATTAACAAACTTCAAAAGCTACACTTCAGGACCTCACTCAACAGTGGCGCCATCTGAGACAAAAAGCGGTTGCCCTCGTTTTGTCGTCATTATCGCAGCAGTAACTTCGTAGCCGTTCTTTTTAATGCATGTAGTACTAAAAACAGATATCTCTGTAATGCATCCGATATTATCGACCGATTAAATAATGGGGGAAAGGCTTTATTGTGAATGAGGATACATAACGATGTAAGTCGAGAATGCAGATTTAGAGATCTAATTATTCCATATAATACAGTGGTTAAATTTTTGTTTTACGACAAATATTGACGAAGTTATGACCAAATTACTAAAAGAATTTTAGGCTGGCCACGTGGTGGCTGTGACGTCACAGAGCTCTAACGCTCGGATGTTATATTGTTGATTTCGAGTTGATTTGCCGACCTAGTAATTATCCTCATTGACAACTACTGTTTAATCCACAGTACCACGTGATTGAGTAACAAACATACCTACTTTCATATTTATTATACTAGGATACAAAAAATACTGCCACTTCTGTTAAACTTTCTGTGTGATGCTTCACATACATGAGGCAAAATATTTTTATTTAATAGTCGGTATAAGTATGTATTTGAGTATCTTATAAATGTTGGACTGGCTGGACTCATTTTAATCAAAGTTTGGCTACTGGCTGTGCTACATTGAAAGTTGGGACTTTAGCAGAAGCATAGACATAACATAACTATTAACTGAGGGTCCCCATACCAACTGTATAGTAAATCTGGGCAGATAAGTGTGAAAGAAACTTAGTGATTGTATGGCCAATAGTTGGTAAAGGTATTGGTTGCACCATTGTTTACACTCTCTCTAGAGAACTGTTAATGCCAGTATCATTTAGTCCATTCCATTGACATTAATATGGGTCCACTAGTATTTAAAAAAAAAACTTTGTGTTTGGTGGGCTCGTTCACTTAGCCAAAAATAATAATTTTGAGATTAATGTGATTGCCTGTCTGTATTATAACTTGCCTTGTTGCATGGTGTATGTAAAGAGCACCTGGAGTGTAAGAATGCCTTAATAAATTTGCCATTTGTGATGAATGTAAATTATGAGTGTATGAATAAATTGTAATTAATGTATTGTAGTACAGTTTGAGAAAAATAGATATAAAATGTAAAGAAATAAAGAGTAATAACTTCTGTAATAAATATGTGTATTTTTTTATTAAAATGATTTTTGGTCAATAAATTATTGAAAACATTTAAATTTCAAACTTGTCAACATACTGAAAAAAATCATCTGAAGCAAATCTGAAAGTTGGAAAGATCTATGATTTATTATTTTAATCACAACACTTTTGCTATCATGAATCATCAAAGGTCATACGACCAACTCCATGATTTTTTATATATCTTCTGTACTGTTTGTATTTGTTATTCTCTGCTAGGGCTTTTTTAGCATTCTCATCTTCTATTTCTTTCCAATGATTATAATTCTCCTTAATCCACAATTCTTCGTCTAGAAATTCTTCCTTTTTCTCATCCTCTATTGCGTTAAATTGATGCTGACCCAATTTCATATATTTCCTAATCAAATATAGCTTTTCTTCTTCCCCGTAGGGTTGCTTTAAAATTGTGAATTTCCAAAACCATCTTAAGTACCAATAAATATAATATGCTATTGTATAAGGGAGTATTAACAATTGAATCCAAAGAATGTCCACAATTTCAGGCTTTGCGTAGGCTCCTTTTATGTCCATGTTTTCTTCTATCACTCTTCTTATTATTTTGTCTTGTTCTTCTTTCATCTGTGCTTTGTTTCTTCTGTTCTTTCCTTGATTTTCACTCAATTCAGCTTTTGCTATCTCTAGAGCTTTATTTCTATACTTTGGTACTGTCATGAAATATTTAATAGCCGTGTCATATTTTGACCAAGCACTATAATATTGGATAATTGATATTATTGATATAGTTACAGCAATTACTATTCGCACATCAACTTTAGGGGCCATTCGACGACGGTAATACCTATAATAATGAGCATAGTACTCTTGAGGATTATCCAACATGTAATCATAGTCTGTTCTTTCCTCATCATCTCGCAATATTTCATAAGCGGTAGCGATTTGCTTGAATTTCTCTTCTGCTACCTTTTTATCATCAGGATTTCTGTGCATGTCCGGGTGGTATTTCTTAGCAAGCTGTCTATAACTTTTGCCAATTTCATTTTTTGTCGCTTCTCTGGACACCCCTAAAACTTCGTAACAATTTTCTTTTCCACAGTAAATGCCTTCGAGAAGATGACCATGTGAAGATACCAGCGTAATGTGTGAAAATACGATAATTACACTCAGGATTTTCAAAGAAAGCATTGTTGCAGTTTAAAACATACTAAATGAGTTACATATACTAAGACTACACTAGTAATTTCTTTTTATTCGCAATTACAAAATAATACAGAACGAATACAATCACCGCTCAATGATACGTTCACCGGACTAATGTCAAATTGTTGTCAACGTCATCTGTGATATTTTTTAAATTCTTAAAGCCATCGCTTCTTGTACCATTGGGCCATCGTAACGAAATCCTAAGTCCATGGTTCTATAAAAACTACAAAACCATAGACATAGTATCATATGTCTATGTATGAAACCGTAATTCTATTTATGATTATATGTCTGGTAATTCTGAAAAATGCCCTTTTTATTGATCTCGTTCGTAAAAAGGGACCTAATATCTTCTTTAAGCACTACCTATATCTTCCTGTCTGATTATACAAAAACCAAACATTACTGCAGCATCCTGAATAAGTTCTGCATTATTAACAATTTTTAGTATAGAAAAGAATGCTCGGCACTTAATCATCACTACCGCAAGCTACTAAAACGTAGTGATTACTTTCTCTTTGGTTTCACAGTGAAATTCTGTCTCTGGGCTGTGTGCATCACCTTGCCTTTTGCCCAGTTTTACCATGGACCCCCGTGCGTGGGTGCGTGTTTCTCTTCATATCGACGCGTGATCTGCTACACTGCACATAAATGGATTTTCGGTGTAGTGCAATACGTGTATTTTAATACAAAGAGTGTAACTTGCAAGCAACGTAAAAACACGCAGTCCCGTTATATGTCAGTGGTGCTTAGTACCGTCGTGCGTGGCGTTGTGCGAATTACCTTAGCACTAAAAATAGTCTGCCTTTTATAATAAAAGCACAGAAGCATGCTTTAAATTGAAACAGCATGCTTTTACCTTAGTCCCTCTATATATGTGGTTATAAAATAAAAAAATCAGGAATACTTTTTAACTTTTTCCACGATAACTTTAGCTTTTTTGAGAATCGCTCATGAACAACTTTCCGGGATAAAAAGAATTCTATGTTCTTTGAATTTTTCTATGTTTGAAACAATGCAGTAATCTATGTTTGTGCTATTTCCGAATCCGTTCATCCGTCTTGCGTAATTGTGTGTTTTAAACAATCAAACACATGATAACATGATATTAGTAAGATATATTGTATACATTAGTAAAACGTAATATAATTTATTCAATCTTAATGCGTATCGCTCAGTATCATATCTCTTGCCTTCCAAAATGTAACTTGTGAGACCAGACTGAGTATTTTAATACTTTTTCGATATACTTTATCGAAATTTCAGAGCCTCAGTCTTTTTTCAGATATATTGGCGTAAGTCAATATTTTTGGGTACCTATATTTTGGATTAAAAGTTTTAATTAACACCGTAGCGATCATCATGTGAAATTCGATGTTCAGATAATTCCCCGGCTTGAGTTTATATTCCATTTAGGACTCCTAAAAAAGCTTACTGACCTTTGTTTATAAATTAGGAGCAAAATTCGGTGCGTTAAAGATAGGCGGCCCCCATAGCAGAATTTAAATGGTATTGAATTATCTAGTACAGCTAATTAAAACGAATTACTGTTCTACAGTTTGCTGTAACTTTGAAGGATTTCTTTCGATTTCGGGGGTTTTTCCAAATTTATAGTTCGGTTTTGTAGTCATATAAATGGAACACGTGCTTATCGTTGTTTTCAATTTACTTAGGGCATTTACGCGTCCATCCAGAAAATATGCCTTGTTTTCAACTGAGTTATTTAAGGAAATGGGAGCAAATTACGGAGTTTCTTATTGACTTGCTCGTTATAAAGATGACAAGTGCGCCGCCTTTTTTTATATATTTATTTCGATTTCGGGAGTTTTTCCAAATTTATAGTTCGGTTTTGTAGTCATATAAATGGAACACGTGCTTATCGTTGTTTTCAATTTACTTAGGGCATTTACGCGTCCATCCAGAAAATATGCCTTGTTTTCAACTGAGTTATTTAAGGAAATGGGAGCAAATTACGGAGTTTCTTATTGACTTGCTCGTTATAAAGATGACAAGTGCGCCGCCTTTTTTTATATATTTATTTTGGCAACAAACAGTCATATATTTTACAAAAGTAGCTTATGTTAAACATTTTTATGAAATAGACCTAACAGTGCCTAAACACAATATGAAACCAGATTTGAAGTTAGGACATGGTCAGCTAATAAAAATCTAAACTAAACCATTACAAAAAAAAATTGTATGACGATATATTTATATCATAGTTATATACACATATATATATATATATATTTATATGTGCGTGTATACACACATATACTTACATACGTACTTGATCTTAATTTTAATATGAAGCCACTCCTGAAAGTTTTACAGTAAGTTTCCTTTTGAATGTTGCGAGAGACATATTAAACAGATCAAATTGAGAGAATGAGTTTCTCGTATATGCTTATTGACGTTTCGGTGGAACAAACAGCGATAGTGTAGTGTACGTGAGGAGCGCACGGGAAGTCGAACTCGACATGGAAATCGAATATTTTCAAGGAGTGCGGACGAATCTATAAGCGAGTGATCATTGACAATGTTCATTTCCTTGTTACTCTGCTCATTTGAGCAAAATTTGCTTTACAAATCTGAATAGTTTTTTGCAAAGTTAAATTATTTTCTTTTAGCGATGACTCCATGCACAAACCTATTACACTACAACAACTAAATATTTACAACCTGACACCATGTGTAATTCAATAAAACACTTATTTATAGTAATTTGTATTTAGTTTTAACTTACTCGGTTCCTCAGTGCAAAGCAATGGTTGCAGTCCAATAATTGTTATTGGTGTGCGAGTCCAAGTTTAGGACGGCAAACTCGATTGCTCTATGTGCACGTTTGTACTCAAATCCGATTTTGACGTTAAGACTACTACACATATTATCCCTGTGTAAGTTGGTATACTTCAGTACCTTTCGGAGGTGCTTTAATAGACTTACTGTTTGCTTTCCAATTACAGAGCATAATGCGACTCAGTGCCGCACAATGCCCAATTATGCTGATGCTTAATTGGAACGTGAATTAGTTTTCAAATGCACCAGCATAGTGCGCTAAGTTCAGTGTTGAAAAAAAAAAACAATGTTTGTACCTTCCATACTTATATTTATTTTTTAACAATTTGAATGAACTTTGATTATTTAAAAAAAACTATTTAATGAAACGAAAGCTTTAATAATTTTTCAACAATAAATAATATTACAAACGATAACATATAAATAAAACATTTCGATCAATGCCAACTTAAAGAAAAAACACTTGTTAATTTTCTGTCTTTAAGTTGGTACGATTGCACGCATCACACGAAAGCATCACTTTTGAGAGTGCTCAATTGTGCGAAGCGTTGCTGTAATTGGAACACTCAACGTTAAGCATTGCCGCATAATGCGCTATAATGCTGTAATTGGAAAGCAACCACTATGTCTATGGGTGCTTCGGTTTTTTCGTAAAAATATTCTGGTCACACTGATGTTGGTAACTGTCACTGTCAGTAAGTCGAGCCAAGTTCGTTTCAGATCTTGTAGTTGGAGTACAATTTTAATTTATTTCGGGGCTTGTATTTATTTATTTCAAAATGTTAATAGAAAACGTTTTGGATGGATTTTGTGATGAAATTTATCATTTCTTAATTGGTAAATCTAAATTACATAAAGGATTACTAGTGAAGAAACATTCGGAAAATTTGCAACAGCATGGTGATTTTAGTTTCCCCAATACAATAAAATCATGGCATCAATATCTAGAACGGAGTGGCTGCAGCCAGGATTCTGCTACAACTCTTTTGAAATACTTACAAAAAGAAAATGCTGATCTTGTTAATGAGTCAAAATTATGGCATCTTGAATTGATAAAAGTGAAACTAGAGAAAGACCGTGTTCATTTATTTCTTAATCGTCCGAAGTCGATATACATCGGATTGAGAGAGGCAATAAACATTAATAGAATCATAGCTCCGCTTATTAAACACAACAGTAGTTGTATATATTGTGATATTAACAGTGAAGATAGTGATTGCTTGACAATGTTGCGTTTAAAATATTTAGCTGTGACTATTGAAAAGTTGTATTCCATATTCAATAGAGAACGAGAGTGCTGGCCTAATATATTCATAACAACAAAATCTTCACAAAAGAAAGAATCTACACATTCAATCTTATGTGGGGCTGTGCTCAACACTGCAACTGGAGGTAAAGAAACAAACATTAAGGCTGATGATTATATTAGGTATGAATATAGTCATTGAATCGTTAACAATTTACCATATAGCCAAATATTATACAACAGTAGGCCTCACTGCCTTGCCATACATTTTTATCAAATTGTCCTCTGTTTATTGTGCCGACATGTGTACTAATTTATTGTATGCTGTAAATTTCAGGATGCGTCAAAATGAGATGATTCTTATTGCTCAACACAAATATGGAGTCAGAGTATCCATGGAGGAGAAATGGAAAGAGTTTATTGACCACCTCGGAGAATCTGCTGTAGTGTTTGAGTTGCTACAAACAAAACCTGGTAGTGCTGTCAAAATTAATTTTGAATGTTCTTCAGCTGGTTCTAGCAAAGGTGGGTATTTTATGTATCAGGCATGTTACTACAAATAAAATATGCACACAAAACTTTATTGGTTATGCATATTCAATCAAACATGATAAAGTCAAATTTTATTACATTTGTAATTTTTAAGCATTTGTCTGCTAGATATTTAAATCTTAAGAAAATGTTATAAAAAAAGTTCCACCCATTACAGACACCAGACGGGATTCCATGTTGCCCTTTCTTCCCTTCGCTATCTAAAAAGATTTAAAAATCTAGCAGTTAAATGCTTAAAATAAAAATATAACGAACTCAATAAATGTTGGTTCTGACATCCTAAATTTAAAACTAAATTATATAGCAGTAATATAAAGAAATGATTATATATAAGCAGATAATTTAAAGAAACATACTTAAATTCAGCTAAAAATTTCAGCTTTTATCTTGTATGTGAATGGAATTATTTTTATTAACAGACTTTGGATTAGAATAGGTATTTAAAATTATTATCTCTTCTTCATTACAGGAGCTGCCTTTGTATTATACAATTGTGCAAGATTAGAAGCCTTAATTAGGTCATATAATGAAAAAGTAGTTGAAGGCATCTACCCTACTTTACCTGATATTGAAAATACAGATTTAAGTCTGCTAACAAATGAGGTAATTGAATTGTATAGGAAATTATATATGAAGAAGGATATAGTTCAACTCAAAAATGTATGCTGGTGTGGCTACACCATAGGTGCTTGAATATATCCCATTAATTGAACAACAATTATTTTATTCAAGGTAATGTTTATATCTTTAGTATTGTCTCAAATTTATCTTGAATATTTTATTCAAGCACCTATGGTGTAACCACACCAGCATACATTTTTGAGTTGTAAGTCGCATAATTTCAGTTGTGTAATTGACGCAGTATTAAGTTTCATAGAAAAGTCCTGTTTTGTTGATGATGATGATATGAGTCTACAGAAAATGGGAAATTACTCTACTCACAAGTCAAAGAAGTAAAATCACAATAAAAAACATAAAAAAATCTGTGTGTTTGTTACTTTTGCAAACATATTGAGTTAATGTTGTGGTATTGTTTAAGGATGAATGGTGCCTAGTGTTCAATTATATAATGGGATTCCCATCAATGCTGGAGAATTGTGTGGAAGTTAACGAGAAAACATGCGAGTTCAGGCCACATCTCTTATGCAGTTTCCTGTGTTCTATGGTTCGGGTATTCAGCCAGTACTATAGAAAAGTTCGTGTACTTACAGTGAGTATTGGTTTGTGAGTGCCATCTATGAATCAAACAGTATATAACATATAAAATTGAAAAAATACCTTTGCTTAGTTTTTTGCTAGTTAAAAGTAAGTTCACCAACATGATATTGTATACTACTTATAAAGAATATTATGTTGGCAATTATTACGTAGCAATCAAAGCCGTACCAGTATTACAAGTGGGTTTATTGGTATGGCTTTTATTACAAAAATCAGATTAATCAGATATCATGTGATATTGGATACACATAGCCACTAGATTAGCTGTCATGAACAATTATTGTTCCAGAATAATATTGAGTCTGCCATTGCAACTATAAATATAAAATAACCAATATTTTAGCAAAAAGAATAATTGATTTACACTTTGAAAATTAATAAACTAGTATATTAATTTTCAAAGTGGAAATAAAATTACAATTAAAAATTGCTCAGTCTGTTTAAAAAGAAATAATTATAGTTTGATTCATTTATTCCTGCCTGGCGAGCAGCAAATGTGAGAAATGTAATTACAATTTATGATTTAGCAAAAGTCAGTAGGTAGGTGTTTAACTGGCAATTTATTAGAATATTTTGTATTTCTTCTATTTCAGGAGCCAAGAAAGCATCTCTTGCCAGTGTTGTTTGCCCGTCTACACATGTTGACAATACTTAATGATACACTCAAAACTTGTCTAAATATTTTGAATATTAAAAGTGTTTCACAAATGTAAATAAAGTTTCATTAAGACAATTTTAGTAGTATTTTGTAGGAGTCCTCTTAAAATATGTAGAGTCTGATTTTGAGAACAAATGTAGAGGACATGTTTGGCTTTTTGCGGTCGCGTTCGGCCAAATATGTATGTGTTTGGCCTGTCCGGCTTTTGTCAGGCTTTTTGTCAGAGTGGGGCTTCGTACAACGATGGACGGACGAGCGTCCGAGCGGACAAGAGAGCAAACTGTTTGCGCGCGCGGCGCGTGGCTAACCCGCCCCGTTGTCTGATATAATAAATATGTCCGGCTTTTAGGGCAAAATGTCAGGCCTTATATAGTGCGCAGTCCGGCCTTTGCATTTTACGGCCTGGCAACCCTAGCCCCAGGTGATAAGATTCTTGTTTAGAAATTTATTACTTGCGAATCTTGTGATAAAAAAAGGTAAGTGCAGAAGCTACTATTATTATATATGTTGCTATTTCATATATGTTGTATATTATTTTCACGGATTCTGTTCGGTTTAATTATTTTTAAAGATCAGTAAGTATAATAATGCTACAAGTCTACTATCGACTGCATGGTCCTGAATGCACTTTAATGATGGCAGTACATTATTATTTATTAAAATATTTAAACAACTTGTTCAATATCCCACGCTGCTACTGAGCGGCGAGCGCATAGAAAAAAATGTTTTGTTTGGAAACACAAAGTTCACGTGATTGACCCAGGTATTTTATTGTGGGTATTGCCTCGTCTCGATTGGCCCGCCGAGCGGCCCCCGACCGGCGCCGACAAATCACGAAGCGGCATACACGATCGCGCGTCCCGTCTCGCCTAGCTAGTGTGCTTTTGACATCGGTAAACGTAGTCGTGAACTTCGGAGCGAAAAACATACTTTTATTTATAGTTTTAAAACGAATAAAGTCGTGTCGCGTTCGTGAATAGCTGTGCTAACCCGGGATACCATAAATATGAGTATTGCAGACTTGATCCAAGCTGCTGAATTCATCGAAAGGCGCGATAGAGGTGAATTGGATTTTCTTTGTTTGAATTGTCAATCGAGTGCACTTCACGCACACGTCAACATGGCTCCCGTCTATTTTTGCGCTGCCACAATCAGCTGATTTTGACGGAATGGCAGTGTTCTTTGTTGCAGAGGCGGAGCACGGATACGCGTCGAGTTTGCCGGCGTACGAGGAGTCTCGTACCGGTGGAAGGCGTCCGAAGACGAAGAAATCGCAGGGCAGCAGGTGAGTCGCCGCTCGCCGGTGAAGTGCAGTGCAGTGAAGTGTTTTAAAGTGGTGACAATCAGTGCGACGGACGGTTACAATGCTATGTTTTTTGTTCCAGGACCACTCATAACGAGTTGGAAAAGAACAGGTTAGTAGATTTGTGTGTTTATGTAAGCTGGGATTGGTGCCGATGCGATGCCGGCGCGATTTCGCGCGTGGCGCAGTGACCTTGCCGGTTGCTCGGTGGGAAGAGTGCACGAGGTGTACCTGGGCGGGGCGGCGACGCTCGTAACCCACTTGGCAGCACGGCCACGGCCGCAGGGCGCTGCCTGGTTACGTCACCAGCGTCTGCTACCACCACCTCCTAGAGTTCGTAGGCCTAGAGCGATCACAGCGGATCATACTAACCTTGTCACCGCGACTTCCACAGACACTGACGATCACTTAATCGCGTTTAGGGGCTTGTAAAATTGTGTTTTTTTGTCGTAGATTTTCTTTTGAATTTTTTTAAAGAGTTTATAACAATTATATCAACAATAAATGTTAATAAGGTTAATTATAGCCATTTCCTGGATAATATAATCGTGTTTGCTTTTTCCTGAATAAGAAATGAATTAGCTTAGCTAAGCTACAAAAGAATCTACCTGAATTAAGTTAGGTTACCTATAGTTTCTCTGTTAGGTAGGCGTTCTCAGTTTTGATTGGAAACTGCGATAACGTGAACCGATGATTTCGAATTGGATGGATTTCTTGGAGCTTTCACACAATTTCCGCGGTGTAGTTATGATGGAATGATATTTTTTATGCTCGATCACTGATAGGTAGGTGTACAATTAATATAGTTCAACTTTCATTGATTTATTTTCTATTGCTCTATCTAACAGAATCTCCTTTTTGAAAGTCGGTTAAACATATGTTAATTTCATTTCATAATACAGACCGATTACGTAGAACAGTGGTCTCTATAACATTTTACATCTCTCTGTCAAGTTGTCATTGAAGTACTTATCAACGTAGGTATATACTAGGTAAATACCTAGTGCACATTGGCACAAAATATATAGTACAGAAGGTAATCTACAGTCTACATACAAAGTGCGCTCGAGCAATGCACAAATAGACACCGCTCACAGGCACGATATCTCGGACCGGTTGGGACCAGGGGCGTATTTAACGTAGAGCCAAGAGGGACAGGGCCCGGGGCTGCAGGCTGTGGCCTCTGTTCCATTTGTTTGAGTCACGCGTCTATGAACTTTTTTGGCAAAAATTAGCAACAAAGAATACGTATTATACCTATTTGTGGACGGTTGTTAAATACAACATTAAACGGTAAATAATTGTTGTTGGAGCAATGTTCTTTTTCGAATGCTATAGCGGATGGAAGCTAGGCGAAAGATTTGTAAGATTTGTTCCGCCACAACCTAGCGAGGCACCTAGTTGGGTAATTAGATGGGCAGGTGGTGGTGGGCGACCACTAACGGTGGTGACTCAGTTTAAGGTTTTGTTTAATGGTTTGACGGAATCGGGCAATGACCCACCACGCTATGGAATAGAAAGATAAAGAGATGAATATGGGAGTCCTCCCCAATACATAACGGGTCCAGTGCGGATTGGTAGGTAGGATACTTTTTTAAAGAATAAGGAGATTGTGCCATGAGCCCATAACCCGCCATGCTACGCGGGCTCAGTGCAGATTGGTGGGCGTTATATAAATATTTTTAACTTCGTTCCAACTGAGAGTTCCACAACATTCACGCATTTTTAATTGGTATTAAAACTATTACTTTATAATGAAATCAAATGTTGTAGTTATTATTGGTTTTTATTTAAACTCTTCCTGTTATATTATCAACAATAAATCAAAGAACTAGTGCTGAGTACCAGCCACTACCACTACCAAGATAGTTTTTTGTGCGTAAGTCAAAGTTGACTCACCTAGCACGACCGCGAGCGTAGGTATGAGAAGAATAATGAGTTTGCTTTCTGTATTATCTATTTTGTGACATTGGCGTTCACACACAGTCTGGCTATAGGTACTGAAGTCTGAACTGACCTATGTTTAGAATATTTGCTCGATATAATAGGTATTCTAACATTCCGTCTATTCTGGGAAATGATAGCTTGTCCATGAACTTAGGCATAGCCTTGCCACAACAAATGAATTTCTTGACTGGTGAAGATTGATGATTACTATTCTAAATCGGCTTCATTTCGAGTTAATGAAATTATTTAGAAAGATCATTAAAATGAGGTTGAAATTATAGATTCGAATAATTTGTAGAGAGTGGACGAAGCCGTCTTTAAATAAATCCTCGATGGTTACTTTAGCATAATAGAAAAAAAAAACATTTAACAGGGGTTAAAATTAGTTTCCAGGTCTCTACCCAATGTTCTACAAACACAGTCAGTCTCTTATTCGACCCTTACGTCTTAATGGGATTTTTTTTTGAAAACAACCAAACACCGTAGTTAAGATTTGCCATTTGGAAATATAAACAATGATTTTGAAGCTAACGCCTAAGCGTAATTTCAATGAGTCATTCGATATGAATATGCTATTATTTTGTAAGATTTCTAATAATTTAACTATGTTACTGATTAAGAGAGTTTTCGACTGATTCCTCCTTGATTTTTATCACTAAAGAATTTAATTTCATACATAAAATATAATTTTTCTCATTCTATGCTTCTATGTTTTCCTTTTTTCGATAACTTATGTTTCAAAGTAACTAGAAGCCCTCTATATGTCCCTGTGCTTCCATTTTATATTGTGTTGCGTTCCATTTCATTATAGATTATTATTGCTCATTATATATGATCCACAGTTGTACACTCATAAATAAATTTTATTTTTGCGCGTAGCGTTACCTTTACTTGATATTAGTAGGTATCTACGGAAGACCAGCGTCGAAACATCGTTAGATGCTCCGACATTATGCTGAGTAGATACCTTTTTAGCACCATGGATATAACTTGTTTATTTATAATGTATGTTGTCAAAATGGTCATGGTAATGAATAAATATTTTTTCTTTCTTTCTTTCTAGAAAGGCCAAAATGAACAAATTTTTATCACCACTAAAGACGTCTAGTGTGGAGATTTAATAAGCATTAACAAAAAAAATCAAAACATGGAGGCATAGTAGAAGTACTTATTATTCTTTCTGTAAAATTTCTTTTACCTATATCTAATTTTCGAGGAGGAAATTGTCGAGAGCTATACCTCGAATTTCGAAATTTTTATACTCAACTTTCAGCGTTAACTACTGTTGTCTCTATCACACGGTATTTGCCAAAGCGTGACAGCAATAGTTTTTTGAAATACCTATTTCCCAAATATCTCTCACCTCGCGTCCGCTCTCTCACGCATGCGTGTCGTGAGTTGTCAATTGCGGAATGGCGGAATAACAAGCTTCATTTATTTATAAAGCTTTTTTTCAATAACTTTACTCTGTGAATTAAAAAAAAAAACTTTAATAAAAACCTTGACCTAACAATATAAATAAATTATCCAATTTGGTGCAGCCGCTCGGAAGTTATGCGCGTACATACTTTTAGGCGATTATTTTTCATATTTACTTTAGAATATTACTGGGTGGAAAACATTACAAATCAAACTATTCTACTCTACATTTACTGCTTATTAATTTCATACATATTTGATTAGATTTAGACATGGGCGTTTTTGGTTTTGAACGCAAACGGATATTTATCGGATTTCAGATTTCAAAATCGATTTTAAAATCCGTTTTTAGATATCCGATTTCAGATGTGCCGAACTTAGCCAATTCACTAGTTTGTGTTATGATTTGGTTTTATTATCTAACGACAATCACAAACAATTAATTGTACGAAGCAAGGATACTCATAGTTTTCGCGATTTTCCTTTATGCTTTAAATCTAGGCTTAGGCAAGAGTATATATTCTGTGGCTTAGGACTAGCAGAAAAGTTATCTTTACGGTTAAGAGTAAAATTATTGCGGCGCATTTAAAAATCGGCTTATATACAATGATTTTTTTTTGTTATTATTTTTAAACCATTTACAAAATCAAACCTAATTACATCAGGTTAGCGTTAAAAAAAATGATAGTTGCTCGACTTTCGTAAACATCAAACCGAAATCGGACTTCCGAGCACGAAATCGGACTTCCGAAAACGAAAGCACGAATTTCGAATCCGATTTACATTTGGATACTTGTGGTGGTATCAGATCGTTATCAGAGCGTTTTGATTCGGTTAGATTTCTAAAATCGGATTTTCTTGTTGAGAAATCGTTTGGTATCGATTTGTGTTTGAAATCGGATTTTGGATTCGTTTTGATATATCGGACGCATGCCTAATTAGATTCGAACGTACCTATCTTTCGTGGAGTGGTTATTTTTGATTGCGATTACTGTTGAATGGAATCATTATCACATTTTTAGCATATTTTACGTTAAAGATGATTTTTTAACCGTAGCGTCATTAATTGAATATTTTTAATAGTTGCTTTTTCAAAAGCCATTCCCTACATGATGATAAGTAGGTAATTTTAGAATTACATCAACGTTTTCACTTAGTAAACGCTTTTGCGAGCACAATACCAGTCAAATATGAGGTCTAAGCAGTCGGTACTGCACGGTCCGTTGGTTTCTACCAGTTTCTACGATACTGATGTTCCGATTGTGTGGTATTCGAAGCGTAGGTGCAATAAGTGTTCACGATTAATCATTGTTTTACAAAATACCTAAATTCACACATTTGTTTAATTAATATTGCTAACAAAACTAGTCGCTTATCAAAATACTAGCGGCCGCCCGCGACTTCGTACGCGTGGAGTTAGTTATTTGCACATACTCTTTGCTCCCAAAAGGGGGTTTATTTCATTACATTATTAGTACACCTCTACATCCTCTATAGAGCATACATGTTAAATTTCAAGTCTTACTTCAAAAACATAAGGACTTTCATACAAACTTCTAATCCCCGTTTTACCCCCTTAGGGGTGGAGTTTCGTGATAATATGTAGCCTATATGTTGAACCGACTTCTTAATAATATTCATGCCAATTTTGAAGTGAATTCTTGCGGTACTTTTTGAGTTTATCCCGGACATAATTAACAGACAAAAATTCTAAAAACTATATTTTTGGCTTCGGTATCGATTGTAGTATCACACCCCAAGTATTCTTTAAAAACAATATTCAATGTACAAATATAATACAATTTTATTATATGTACAGATGATA